TCAACGTGAGGGAAAGTCTCTGGGTTCAGTTGCACCACTCCAAACAATAAAAGTAATTGTATTTATTGTTCCTATCCAACCAGCAGTGTACATTAATGCATTCAAATCCTGTTTGCTTGTTAGGTGTCTGCTGTTTGGGAGCTGTTGGGGCCCTTCCCCAAAACTACTGATGGCTATCAGTACATATTTACAGCCACGGATTATTTTTCAAAGTAGGTAGAGGCTTTCCCATTTAAAAACTAAGACGGCTGTGGAGGTTGGGCAAAGACTTTGCTTTATAATATACAGGGGTGCCCAAAATGTATCCTGTCTGATCAAGGGCGGGAATTTGTAAATGAAGTAAATATTGTTTGTGTACTTCTTGTTCATACTTTCTTATTCATTTTATTTTCATTGTTTCAGCTCAATGTTACTCTGTGTTCTCTGCTGGGCATTGAGAGAAGCGTCACCGCTGCGTACCACCCACAGACTGATGGATTGGACAAAGAGACCAACCACAACATAAAGAGGCAAGAAAGTGTCCAAGGCTCAGTGATTCAGTTCGCTCCTTCACCACAAAACAAGGCCAGTAGAAAGACACAAACATATTATCATTTAAAAAGTACATTTTTAAATTGTCAGATGTTCATGTCTTTACTAAATCTTAACACTCAGTTCCCATAAATGTTTTTCTGCATAAAACAGTTAGTTTAAATAATCATCCTCCAGCAGTCACATGACGCATGTGTAAAAAAAGCCAGCATTGAGGAGCAAGGTTGTAATTGTACAAAGTTCTGACCTGATGGGTATTATTATGTTTTTCTCTAATGCAGGTCATTGATTCCGATCTACGTGTGCTGGTGAACAAAGTAGAGGTGACATGTGTCCTTTCCATTGGCTTGTTTCAGCAGAAACCTGTTCCCCAGCTCTCTGCTGTTGTGGGCACAAGCCTCTGTGCGTGGACAAATGAAACCACTTACAAAGGAAGTTCCAATTTCCGTGGGCCAAATATTCCTTGCATACCCATATGGTTACAAACACAATAACACTTTTTGGTTCCACTTTTTTATAGATGAAATTTCCAGAAGAGGCTCACTGGATCTGCCCCATAAAGACTGGAGGCCACTGGGTGTTAGTGGTCGTCCTCATGGAGGATAAATCAGTATTGCTCATTGACCCCATGGGAAACGAGGCCCTTTACAAAACAAACATCCTCAAAAACTGGAGGTTTGTCCTATCTGAGAAGTTATCATGAGACTTGTTTTGTAACTGTTCATCTCACTTTAGGAAGTTTCTGAGGCAGGCGAATAGAGGCAGTGGTCAATGGACTGGGAGTGTGCTCAAGCACCAGCTACAAATTGACACCTCTAGTTGTGGCATTTTTATTTTAAAGGTGATTCTGTAATTATTTATTCTTCTTTGAAGGCATAGTGACATGTCCTATTAGCTGTATATATAGTTTGCCGAGGCATGGTTCCTCCAGGGCCATTTGGATGCTGTGTGCACAAACTACAACTTTATTGCTGCAGCGTGTCTGGAAGTGGCATGTACGCTGCTTCAGCGAGGAGGTTATTATCGTCCTTACTTTTGAAATGTTATACCTGGGTTAATCAACAAAACTGAGACTGAAACATTGTGTTTATTTGTAGGTGAAGATGACTACTGTGGTGTGTGTTGTTTCCACTTAAGTGGAGATGAAAAGGTATTTTCCTCTTATAACCCTACAGCATGTGTTTCTGGAATGACTAAAGTTTACTTATTTTGGACAGGTGCAGTGTTGTATGTGCGGCGACTTCACACATTTTGATTGCACCAACAAAAAAGCGCCTTTGGTAGCATGTAATAAATGTAATCAATAGAAAAAAGTGTTGGCCACACATGTCAGAGTAATTGTATTTTTATAAAATGTACCATGTTGCAACAGTGGTTTCTGGTCTTTGTTTTACCTTGTGCTTTTCAGAATCATAATTTTTGTTTTGCTCTACATCTGAGGCTATGGTGCAAAGTCCCTGGTTATCTATGCATTTATTTTTAATTACTATTCAAACAAGGGTTCTAAAATCAAACTATTGGAAAGTCAGAGGTAACAACATTTCAGAACACAACAGTGTGACAGCAAGATATACCTCTATCAATCTTGTGACATGTGGTTGTATACTACACAAATTATTGGGATTAGTAGTGTTGGAAATGTGTATTTATAATTAAACTGTCCTCTGTTCATATGTAATGTGATGGTGTTTCTGTAGCTACATAAAAAATATAAAATTAATCGAATGTAACATGTATAATCTTGTTATTCGGTATGGATACATTACAATACAATCCTTAATAATCCCATATCAACATGTTCAGACCAGTTGTAAGATGTAGAGTTGCCACAGGACGCGTCATCGGCCTGCGTCCGCAGCCAAGGACTGCTATCATAACATTAGCTTTGTGGTTTCACAGGCAGAGTTGACTGCTTAAACTAAACTTTACACAAAACTTTGACTCTTAAAACCCACATGTGACAACGCGGAACCATCAACATCTCGCCTCAAATTGCATTAAAAGTGACATTCGTGTCTTATTTCGTTCGTATTATAACTTTTAAAGCAATTCTCGGACTTTCTGTCCGCCATCTTGGTTTGTTTCGGCTGCCGTGAGACGCGCATGCGCGCAGGTTTGCATTACATCATTAACAGCTGAGCATTACATAAGCGTCACTTTTCGGCAGAGCGGCACAACTCGGCAGAACACCGGCGCTGTGTGACAGTGTGACTGTCGTAGAGGGGGCGTGTCTGCAGCACCAGACTTTTCATCTCCCAGTCTGCGGTGATGAAGTTCTCCGTTCCGCTCATGGATGTATTATAGGTTCCGCGGGACGTCCAAGTGTCAGTCGTGAGCGCAGCTGAGGATGCGCGGGAGAGTTGACTTTAGCCCGGTCTGACTGTGCGTAAAGGAGCTGCTTAAATGCCGCGACAATAAACGGTCGTTGAGACGCTTTTTTTTCACTCATGTCTTTCTTGTGCCACAGTGCTTACACATCGTGGCAGTTTTGTCGAATATTAATTATCAGTGTAGATAAGTAAAAATGCTCTCATACTGGGGATTTAAATGACGCAGGGCTTTCAAGTATCTCCGTTCCTCCGCTCGCAATGACCGCGCTGTGTGTGGACTGAACAACGTGCGCACAACTTTTTTTTCATAAATCAAACCGCAGATCGAAGACGTTGAACCGAACGGATCACGGATCAGTGATGAACCGTTGCACCTCTAGTATGTGTGTGTGTGCATACCTTTGAGTATGCGTGTGTGTGTGTGTGTGTGTGTGTGTGTGTGTGTGTGTGTGTGTAAATGTGTACATATGTGTGTGTGTGTGTGTGTCCTCCTGCAGTCTGTCTGTCACTGTATGCTCTCCGATGTCAGCACGTGGTTCTTGCAGGATCTGTGAACACCACGAGAAAAACACACTTTTCAGAAAATACAGTCTTGTTTTAAAGAAGTGCGTCTCAAAATGAGGTCACAATCCCTTTAATTACACTTTCTCTTTTGTGTGTTCGTGTCCCACAGTCCGCTGACCCTCGGAGTGTCCCGTTTCCCCCGGGGCTCCGAACATTAGCCTTGTTTAGTTTATGAGCCTCCAGTGTTTTGAAGAGGAGCGAGTTCTCTTTAAAACAGTCAAATAAAAACGTAAAAATCTTTCTGTGGCTCGCACCTCGCACAAAGTACATGTTGGAACTGGACTTGTGTCTCTCGTCTCCTTTTACACCAAGACTCCCAGAATTCTAAAACTAGTAAAACTCCTGAAGCCGTCATTCTAACAGCTCTCGTTCAAACCAATGGAAAATGTTTAGTTTTCCACCAGAATTCTGAAAAGTAAATATGATCAAACTGGTGAAAATAACTTTAAATAGAGCAACAGCAGTTTGTTGAAAAAAAGTGTGTTGCTATGGTAACTAGCACTTGGTCCTCTCTGGTGGAACCCCAAGCTGGACCAGAACCAGGACCAGCACCTTGAAAAGAGGGCTTTACCTGTAATAGAAAGTTGGTTTCCAAGCAACCGGAATCTTACATTAAAATGAATGAAGCTGAATTTAAGTCCACACATAAAAAGATTAAAGATGATTTTATGATATTAATGACATAGAAATTAACTAGAAATAAAAACAAATGCTTCACATGCTGAGTAATTACGCTTCCAAAACTGAAAGCCGTCAAATTGACTGCTCCGGGAGTTCTAGAGTTGTGATGTTCTCTTGGTGAAAAGCCGACACAGGTACAAGCAACATGCAAACCTTTCCCACTGTTGTCCTGGGTCGACACAGTTCAGCACTGGCCGGGTGGATGAATACACATTAAAGGTATATATGAGGATTTTCTACTTCCGGGTGGATCATCGTGACTACTAGTCCTCCTAATTGTCAATTATTCTGGTGATACGTGCTCGTCAAATAAGACGAGTTTTGTTCAAAAAGTGGAGAGGGTTCTTTTGTAAAATTTGGGAAAATCCTTCTACTGTATATACATTTAAGATGAGAATTATTCAGTGGGGGCGGATCCCGGCTCAAAAGTGGCCAAATGCTCTAACATGCTGCAATACCACCCCGGGCCGATGAGGTTGGACCTGGCTAAGAATTAGCCCAAGCTAGCATATAGCATCTTCTTACCTCTCGAAAACGTCTTTACAGGATGGTCCAAAAGTCGCTCTTGGCCCAAAGCTCCGTTCCACATGTGTGTCAATGCTGAGGGGGGTGAATTTTTTTGGCCCAGTCTAGTTTAGTCGCTGTGAAAAATGGGGCTCGTGCCGGCTGACGCATGCGTAGATGCGTTTTTTCACATTTTCCAGCCCCCGCTGCCATTTTGAAACTGCCCATTGACCGCTGAAGTTGTGGCACATTAGTTTGAACGGCGGAGATAGGCGTGACTATGTCCGTTAATATTTACAGTCTATGGAATTATGTAAAATGTGTGATCGAGTTTAGTCCTGATGATATCTGAAAAGCAGAATAATAATAATGGTGGTTCTGTGGTTGTAGGTGTATTTCCGGCTGGAGTTCGAGTTCAGTCGCTCTGTTGTTCTGGACCATCTGCACATCTTCCTGGAGGCCAGCAGGTAGGACGGCGTTCCCAAAGTATTCCCAAAGAATGTCTCTGTCTCTGACTCGTCTGTTCCTGCAGCGATGGAGAGGACGTGTCCACAGCCGATAATTACAACGACATGTACTACTTCTTACAGTACGAGGCCGATCTGCTGTTCACACGGTGAGGCTCACGGCACCACGTCCAGGGCACAAAGAACTGTGGGCTTTGGGTTGGCACTAATGGGTTTGTTTTCAAAGTCACCACCAATGGATTCAAATACACAAAACTTTAGAACCATACTCTCTAGAATCATCTTCCTGGTGTCTGAAAGTACACTTTTGAGGTGAACGGTGTCCGTGGATGCTATAGTTAGATACATGACCCGTGTGGAGAAATAGAATTCATATAAAAGTCGCCAGAAGATGCTAAATTATGTAATTTTGCCAACTTTTAGGATTTTTTTAAATGTATATTATTTAGTCCTTTTTAAGTAAGAAATTGCATTGAATCATTCTTTTTAAGTGATTATTAATCTCTAACTCCTAACCCGCCTCTTTTACCCGGACTTGGGACCTGCAGACCTGAATGAACATGACTTCTGACAGTTACTTTTTTGCAGACAATATAAGCTTAAAAGATTGTTTCTTTATAGGCGACATCACTTAAAACTCCACGACTCTCAGCATTTAGCCGTGTTATAGTTGTTTGTCATTTACACAAAGCTGTTTTTATGCGTGTTTGAGTTTTCTATATCCATATTTACAGACGCCACCATTGCTCTCCCCCCAGTCCTCTGACTCTCTGCAACCTGCCCCTTCCCCGGATTTTACTTACTTTCTTTGCGCATTTTCTTACCTAAATTTGTATTATATGGCGGATTCACAAGGAGGAACATACAATTCCATCATAACCTTGTCTGCGGAGGAGTAGACCTCGGATGTCATTGTGTTTCTCTGACGCTCAGGTCTAGGAGGTCGAGGGAGACTGCAGCAGGAGCTAAATACAACTAATTTCTTCTACAACATTGTTTTAGCTCAATCTAGACATTTTATATGAACTATATATTCAATTAAGAGCTACAGGCCACGCCCCCCTGTGCACTTATAGAGGACAGAGTGGCTGTTGAAGGCAGGGACGGCAACGATCCACATAAGCAGAATCTGGCTGTGGGGACGTGGAAGGTCACTCAGCCAAGGACTTCTTGGAGTCCCTGGGGCGAGTACTGGACTCTCTCCTGGGGGACTGCAACGAACCCTGTGGGAAAGGCCAGAGACACGTGGAGAGGAATGATGGGGAAGAACAGTCCGCCTAATCTGACCCAGGACACCCATCAGAGCAGCAGGGACGACAGCAATTATGTGCAGAAATGTCACTGGATTTTCTTTGCTCATGAGGCACTGAGGGACTGTCTTCTTGACGGACATGTCTCTGCAACAGCGTGTGGCGTTCGGGGACGGGGCCTCTGGAGTGACAAACTGGGGCCACTTCTATTGATGTCTGTCAGGTTGAGCGCCAACTCAGTGCAATGCCCCACGCTGAAAGCTGATTGGTCAGAGGTCGCAGGTGTTGCTCGGTTTCTGCCAAAGTACAACCACCTACTACTGCACAAGGCCGGAAGAGCCAGAGTGGGTCGAAACGCTGAACTTCTGCTCGTTATTTTGGGATTTTCATGCTTTGAACGTCCCAAAGGACACTAAAGCGACCACCGGGGGGGGGTTAATGAGGTAGATCCACCTCCCAAAACAATCAGTACGATCCGTTTAATCTGGGTTTAATCATGCTTCTAACCCAAAGTGCTCAATGTTTTGGTTAGCCGCCCTTCTGCAAGGACAAGGGGGTAATTAACAGATGACAGCGGCTGGAGTGTGATTGTGCCGGATGTCTCTAAGGGCCGTATCTATCGTGTGTCTGTTCAAAAGTTGCTCCCCTCTGAGTTTGGAATTTGTATCTTCTGAAAGCACGTGCTAATTACTTTTCACCAGAAATGTTCTCTCAGTAATCTCTGCCCACATGAAATCTTTTGAAGGAGAAAACAGCTTCAAACACAACATCTGCTAGATGAGGTGTTTGAATTGTATTGTTATCCTGCAGTCATTAGTTAACAAGAGGATTCGAAAAGAACAGTTGCCAACATGTAAAAAAAAATGATTTAAGGCTGAATTTGGACAAAACCCACTGTAATCCCATCCCTTATACTTAACTATGTATGTTTGTGTACAGTATATGTACGGTACAGACCAAAAGTTGACTATGACTATTGTCTGTAGATCCACACCAGGCTGTGTAAGTGCTGTTTGACCAATAAGGAGAGTGATGGTGCTGGGCCACATGACCTCCACAGTCACCGGACCTGAACCCAGTCCAGATGGTTTTGGACCTGAACCCAGTCCAGATGGTTTTAGGGCTGGACCACAGAGGGAAGGCGAAAGGGCCAACAAGTGCTAAGCATCTCTGGGAACTTCTTCAAGGCTGTTGAAAACCATTTCAGGTCACTACCTCTTGAAGCTCATCAAGAGAATGTCAAGGGTGAAGCAGTAATCAGAGCAAAAAGTGCTACTTTGAAGAACCGAGAGTATAAGACATACTTTCAGTTGTTTCATACTTCTTTTTTTTAGTAAGTACATCATTCCACAGGATTTAATTCATATTTTTGATGGCTTCAGTGTGAATCTACAATTTTCATAAATAAAAAATAATACAAAATTTGAATGAGTGTGACTTTTGGTCTGTACTGTGTATATATGTATATGTATGTATAGATATATATATATCCATCCATCCATTTTCTACCCTTTTAATCCATTTCTGGGTCAGGGGGGTGGCAATCAGAGATGCCACCCAAGTCTCACAGCACCAGCCCCTCACTGACCCTCTGCAGGTGGTGAGTCCACAGGAGGACGGCTGCTCTCTGAGTGTGAGCATAGCCTTGATCTTTCAGTGGGGGCTTTGGGCAAAGTGGGGTTAAGTGTCTTGCCCAAGGACACAACGACAGCAGTCATCAGTGGGAGTCGGTGGAGAAGGTGCAGAGGTGGGAATTGAACCCACGACCTTCTGGCCTTAAGGCCAATGCTCTACCAACTGAGCTACTGTCGCCCAGTATATATATATATATATATATGATATATATATATATATATATATATATATATTATATATATATATATATATATATATATATATATATATATATATATATATTATATATATATATATATATATATATATATATATATATATATATATATATATATATATACCTTTATATTCATACTTATGTTAGATATGTATTCATTCAAGATCATTTATTACAATAATAAGATAATAAAATAGAATAAGATGAACTCTGGAGCTATGATTGCACTTGGTTCGGAGACAGAAGTGTATGTTGTACTTTTGCAGCAGAGAATATGAGCAGAATGAACAATAGTAACAATAGCAGCAGGTAAAGTGACTAGTGACAGAAATATCAGATTAAGGATGATGCAGATCCATATTTTCCCTAAACACCAGACTTGTGGTTTTTTCCCTTTTGCAGAAGTTCTAATCCCACTCGCTATGAGATCAAGTCGGACCTCTCTCTGGAGGACTCTGGAGTCATGGGCCCGCCCTTTAACTTCACTTTTCAGGTGTGTTCCAACAACACACACAAGAGTTGTATAGTTTGTATAGTCTGCTAGATTGTTTTTCTTTTACTCATTTGAATACGACGAGAATAAGTTTGTTTGGTGAGAATTCAGTGAGTTTGGTGTGTTCGCTCTCAGGTCCAGAACCTGGGCTACTTCCCCGTCAGAGACCTCCAGCTGAACATTGAGATCCCAGAGATGACCCGCAACGGAAACCAGATCCTGCAGATCCACCACTTCAGCATAGACCAGGTCAGTCCTGCTGGTCAGTCCTGCTGGTCAGTCCTGATGGTCAGTCCTGATGGTCAGTCCTGATGGTCAGTCCTGCTGGTCAGTCCTGATGGTCAGTCCTGATGGTCAGTCCTGATGGTCAGTCCTGCTGGTCAGTCCTGCTGGTCAGTCCTGATGGTCAGTCCTGATGGTCAGTCCTGCTGGTCAGTCCTGCTGGTCAGTCCTGATGGTCAGTCCTGATGGTCAGTCCTGCTGGTCAGTCCTGATGGTCAGTCCTGATGGTCAGTCCTGCTGGTCAGTCCTGCTGGTCAGTCCTGCTGGTCAGTCCTGATGGTCAGTCCTGATGGTCAGTCCTGATGGTCAGTCCTGCTGGTCAGTCCTGCTGGTCAGTCCTGATGGTCAGTCCTGCTGGTCAGTCCTCTTGTCTGTCTTGCCAATGACTGGACCTGTATTTATTATTTATTATTTTTATATATGATAAGGACAGAACAAATAACCGATGCCGTGTTCATAGCCTTGAAGCAAACAGAGCTGCTCCTATGACATAAAATACATCACGTTTAAGGATCATTTTAAAAACATTGATTACAAAGTACAAAATATTTACAAAAGAATATCAGAGTCTTGAATTGATCCCACAAGTTTGGTTTCTTTTGAGCCCTGACCTCTGATTCTGCTGCAGTCTCCGTAAACACCACTGTTTCTATACACATGGATTTGTGTTTACTCTCCGTGATGATCCACCTTCATGATGAGGTTCTGGACAGGGAACTGGAAGTGAACAGGAAGTGAAAAGGAAGTGTACCGGAAGTAAACAGGAAGTGAACAGGAAGTGTACAGGAAGTAAACAGGAAGTGAACAAGAAGTGAACAGAAAGGGAACAGTTGTAACATGATTGTGTTGTTGTTCCACAGAGAGACGGGACGTTGTGTTTGCCCCCGCAGCATGTGGCCCAGAGCCGAGCGGCTGCAGAGGACCTGTCCCGCTACACACGCCTGGTGTGTGTCTGTCTGTCTGTCTGTGTGTGTGTGTCTGCATCTGTTTGTGTGCATGTGTGTATCTGCGTCTCTGTGTGTCCGTCCGTGTGTGTGTGTCTGTGTGTGTGCTATATGTGTGTCTCTGTGTTTGTGTGAGTGGGTGTCTCTCTGTGTCTGTCTGTCTCTGTGTGTGTGCGTGTCTGTATTCTAATGTGTGTGCGTGTCTGTATTCTAATGTGTGTGCATGTCTGTATTCTAATGTGTGTGTGTGTCTGTGTGTGTGTATTCTAATGTGTGTGTGTGTGTTTGTACTCTAATGTGTGTGTGTGTCTGTATTCTAATGTGTGTCTTTGTGTACTTGCAGAACCGCTCCAACACTCTGCCCGTGCCGCTGCAGTGCTCTCTGAACGTGGCGTCGTACTCAAACATCGCGGTGCGCATCAGTGGCGCTCTGCGAGTGGACACACTGCACGCGGTCAGTTCTCAACACACAAACACACACACACACACACACAGACGTACAGACAGATGCACATAGACATATACACAGACGCATACACACACAAAGACGCACATAAACACATACACAGACGCACAGACACACATGCATGCACAGACATTAGAATACAGACACACGCACACACACAGAGACAGACAGAGATACACAGACAGATGCACATACACACACGCACACAGACACACTCACACACACACACAGACACACGCACAAACACACACACAGAGATACACAAACACACAGAGACACACAGAGACGCATATATACAAACACACACACACAGATACACACACACACACACACACTCAGTCCTCTGACCTGTGATTCTGCTCTCAGCTGAGGTTCAGGACCGTGGAGGTGGTCAGCAGCGCCTGGGTCCAGCTTCCGCAGTCCAGCGCCATGTTCCTGCAGGAGGAGCGGCCGCTGAGACACGTGAGTCACACCCTCCTCGGTGTTGTTGTGGTCACTGTTGGATGAGGGTTAGTTTCAAGAAGCTGCGATGTTGCAGGATAGAGAGACCAGTGAGACCAGAGAGAGACCAGAGAGAGACCAATGAGAGAGAGACCAGAGAGAGACCAAGGAGAGAGACCAGAGAGACCAGAGAGAGACCAAGGAGAGAGAGACCAGAGAGAGACCAAGGAGAGAGACCAGAGAGACCAGAGAGAGACCAAGGAGAGAGACCAGAGAGACCAGAGAGAGACCAAGGAGAGAGAGACCAGAGAGAGACCAAGGAGAGAGAGACCAGAGAGAGACCAAGCAGAGAGAGACCAGAGAGACCAAGGATAGAGAGACCAGAGAGAGACCAGAGAGAGACCAAGGATAGAGAGACCAGAGAGAGACCAATGAGAGAGAGACCAGAGAGAGACCAGAGAGAGACCAAGGAAAGAGAGGGACCAAGGAGAGAGAGACCAGAGAGAGACTAAGGAGAGAGAGACCAGAGAGAGACCAAGGATACCAGAGAGAGACCAAGGAGAGAGAGACCAGAGAGAGACCAGAGGTACCAAAGAGAGAGAGACCAGACAGAGACCAAGGATAGAGAGACCAGAGAGAGACAGAGAGACCAAGGAGAGAGATACCAGAGAGACCAAGGATAGAGAGACCAAGGATAGAGAGACCAAGGAGAGAGAGCCCAGAGTGAGAGAGACCAGAGAGAGAGAGACCAAAGAGAGAGAGACCAAGGATAGAGAGACCAGAGACCAGAGAGTTACACACCAGAGAGACCAAGGAGAGAGAGACCAGAGGGAGACCAAAAAGGGAAAGACCAGAGAGACCAAAGACAAAGAGAGACCAGAGAGACCAACGAGAAAGCTATACCAGAGAGAGAGAGACCAGAGAGACGAAAGACAAGAGAAGTTAGTAAGTATGTTAGTAATCTTTATTTCTATAGCGCCTTTCACAGAACAGTCACAAAGCGCTTTACAATCTGTCTCTCACTCCACACAGAGAGCACAAGAGAGAGACCCGAGAGATCAGAGATAGACCAGGAAAAGACCAGAGAGAGAGAGATGACAGAAAGAAACCAGAGTTGATGTGTAGTGACAAAGTAGAACGAGAGAAACTAGCTCTGAACAAGCCCAGAGATCTGACTTTTGACAGTTACCATAGCGACCAGGAGAGAGCGCTCAGCTGCCCTCCACCACAACGTTAAACTACAGTCTTTTTGGTATGTGGTGATGTCACATGGACGCGATCGAGTGAATATCAAAATAATCAGCGACAGAGAAGTGGGAACACAGAAAAGACGCTTCAACGTAAGATCGACCGCAGTGAAGAGAAAAAGACGCATTTATATTCAGAATAGATTGCATTGTTTTGACCAGTTTTGGAGATTTATTGTTTGTGTGAAATGAAAACATTTATTGTAGATTAAATATGTTGGTAACACTTTACATTACGGGCCGGTAAGTCCATGGTACTTACAGTGGTACTTCTAGGTACTTACAGTGGTACTTCTAGGTACTTACAGTGGTACTTACGGTGGTACTTACGGTGGTACTTACGGTGGTACTTACGGTGGTACTTACGGTGGTACTTACAGTGGTACTTACAGTGGTACTTACAGTGGTACTTCTAGGTACTTACAGTGGTACTTCTAGGTACTTACGGTGGTACTTACGGTGGTACTTACGGTGGTACTTACGGTGGTACTTACAGGGGTACTTACGGTGGTACTTACGGTGGTACTTACGGTGGTACTTACAGTGGTACTTACAGTGGTACTTCTAGGTACTTCTAGGTACTTACAGTGGTACTTCTAGTGGTACTTCTAGTGGTACTTCTAGGTACTTATTGTGGTACTTACAGTGGTACTTCTAGGTACTTACAGTGGTACTTAGAGGTACTTATTGTGGTACTTACAGTGGTACTTCTAGGTACTTATTGTGATAATTCTAGATACAGCTGTAACTTAGTAATTCAAGGACACTACAGTATTATTCCTATGTAGTAAATGTGGTACTTCTACATACATACATACAGAGATCATTTGTAGGATTGTTTGACTATAAAACATAAAACAACATTATGTAAAACAAACGTCTTTATTAATATGGAATAAGTAGCACAGAAAGGACAGTATAAATACATTTAATGCATATTTCAAAACAAGTTTCAAGGACAAGGGAAACACTGCAAGAACTAGGTACCCAACCCAAGTAACAAGAATTACACATTACCAGGTACTTACCAGCCAAGTACCAGGTACTTACCAGCAAGTACCAGGTACTTACCAGCAAGTACCAGGTACTTACCAGCAAGTACCAGGTACTTAACAGCAAGTACCAGGTACTTACCAGCAAGTACCAGGTACTTAACAGCAAGTACCAGGTACTTAACAGCAAGTACCAGGTACTTACCATAGGGACTGGCCCATAATAAGACAAAGGACTTTAACATAAGTACCAGTGATAACACCAGTAATTATACAGTAAGTACCAGGTACTTACCATAGGGACTGGCCCATAATAAGACAAAGGACTTTAACATAAGTACCAGTGATAACACCAGTAATTATATAGTAAGTACCAGGTACTTACCATAGGAACTGGCCCATAATAAGACAAAGGACTTACCCATAAGTACTAGTGATACCAGTAATTATATAGTATACCATGTACTTACCAGCAAGTACCAGGTACTTACCAGCAAGTACCAGGTACTTAACAGCAAGTACCAGGTATACTATATAATTACTGGTATCACTAGTACTTATGGGTAAGTCCTTTGTCTTATTATGGGCCAGTTCCTATGGTAAGTACCTGGTACTTACTATATAATTACTGGTGTTATCACTGGTACTTATGTTAAAGTCCTTTGTCTTATTATGGGCCAGTCCCTATGGTAAGTACCTGGTACTCACTGTATAATTACTGGTGTTATCACTGGTACTTATGTTAAAGTCCTTTGTCTTATTATGGGCCAGTCCCTATGGTAAGTACCTGGTACTTGCTGGTAAGTACATGGTACTTGCTGGTAAGTACATGGTATACTATATAATTACTGGTATCACTAGTACTTATGGGTAAGTCCTTTTTCTTATTATGGGCCAGTTCCTATGGTAAGTACCTGGTACTTACTATATAATTACTGGTGTTATCACTGGTACCTGGTGCCTTGCCTTGCCTACTTGCTGTTAAGTACCTGGTACTTGCTGTTAAGTACCTGGTACTTGCTGGTAAGTACCTGGTACTTGCTGGTAAGTACCTGGTACTTGGCTGGTAAGTACCTGGTAATGTGTAATTCTTGTTACTTGGGTTGGGTACCTAGTTCTTGCAGTGTTTCCCTTGTCCTTGAAACTTGTTTTGAAATATGCATTAAATGTATTTATACTGTCCTTTCTGTGCTACTTATTCCATATTAATAAAGACGTTTGTTTTACATAATGTTGTTTTATGTTTTATAGTCAAACAATCCTACAAATGACCTCTGTATGTATGTATGTAGAAGTACCACATTTACTACATAGGAATAATGCTGTAGTATCCTTGAATTACTAAGTTACAGCTGTATCTAGAATTATCACAATAAGTACCTAGAAGTACCACTGTAAGTACCACAATAAGTACCTCTAAGTACCACTGTAAGTACCTAGAAGTACCACTGTAAGTACCACAATAAGTACCACAATAAGTACCTCTAAGTACCACTGTAAGTACCTAGAAGTACCACTGTAAGTACCACAATAAGTACCTAGAAGTACCACTAGAAGTACCACTGTAAGTACCTAGAAGTACCACTGTAAGTACCACTGTAAGTACCACTGTAAGTACCACCGTAAGTACCACCGTAATTACCACCGTAAGTACCACCGTAAGTACCTAGAAGTACCACTGTAAGTACCTAGAAGTACCACTGTAAGTACCACTGTAAGTACCACTGTAAGTACCACCGTAAGTACCACCGTAATTACCACCGTAAGTACCACCGTAAGTACCACCGTAAGTACCACCGTAAGTACCACTGTAAGTACCACTGTAAGTACCACCGTAAGTACCACCGTAAGTACCACCGTAAGTACCACCGTAAGTACCTAGAAGTACCACTGTAAGTACCTAGAAGTACCACTGTAAGTACCACTGTAAGTACCACCGTAAGTACCACCGTAAGTACCACCGTAAGTACCACCGTAAGTACCACCGTAAGTACCACCGTAAGTACCACCGTAAGTACCACTGTAAGTACCTAGAAGTACCACTGTAAGTACCTAGAAGTACCACTGTAAGTACCATGGACTTACCGGCCCGTAATGTAAAGTGTTACCAATATGTTTTCTTTTTTCAATTTATGATATAATTGAGTTGCTCTGGAGAGATCCCAAATGTGCCGTTTATGCGAGGCGGCCCAGGAAAGTACAGGAAATGGCTGCTTTTTGCCAAGAAGAATGGGCAGCTTTACAACCAGCGAGAGAACAGAGGGAGAGAGAGAGAGAGAGAGAGAACAGAGGGAGAGGGAGAGAGAGAGAGAGAGAGAGAGAGAGATACCGGGGGAGGGAGAGACAAGAGGGAGAGAGAGAACAGAGAGAGCAATACCAGGGAGAGGGAGAGACAAGAGGGAGAGAGAGAACAGAGAGAGCAATACCAGGGAGAGGGAGAGACAAGAGGGAGAGAGAGAACAGAGAGAGTAAGACCAGGGAGAGGGAGAGACAAGAGGGAGAGAGAGAACAGAGAGAGTAAGACCAGGGAGAGAGAGAAAGAGAGAGAGACAAGAGGGCGAGAGAGAACAGAGAGAGTAAGACCAGGGAGAGAGAGAGAGAGAGAGAGAACAGAGGGAGAGGGAGAGAGAGAGAGAGAGAGAGAGAGAGAGAGAGAGAGAACAGAGGGAGAGAGAGAGAGAGAGAGAGAGAGAGATACCGGGGGAGGGAGAGACAAGAGGGAGAGAGAGAACAGAGAGAGCAATACCAGGGAGAGGGAGAGACAAGAGGGAGAGAGAGAACAGAGAGAGCAATACCAGGGAGAGGGAGAGAGAGAACAGAGAGAGTAAGACCAGGGAGAGGGAGAGACAAGAGGGAGAGAGAGAACAGAGAGAGTAAGACCAGGGAGAGAGAGAAAGAGAGAGAGACAAGAGGGCGAGAGAGAACAGAGAGAGTAAGACCAGGGAGAGAGAGAGAGAGAGAGAGACAAGAGGGCGAGAGAGAACAGAGAGAGAGTAAGACCAGGGGGAGGGAGAGAGAGAGACAAGAGGGAGAGAGAGAACAGAGAGAGCAATACCAGGGAGAGGGAGAGACAAGAGGGAGAGATAGAAAAGAGAGAGTAAGACAAGGGGGAGAGAGAGAGAGAGATACCAGGGGGAGGGAGAGACAAGAGGGAGAGAGAGAACAGAGAGAGCAATACCAGGGAGAGGGAGAGACAAGAGGGAGAGAGAGAACAGAGAGAGCAATACCAGGGAGAGGGAGAGACAAGAGGGAGAGAGAGAACAGAGAGAGTAAGACCAGGGAGAGGGAGAGACAAGAGGGAGAGAGAGAAAAGAGAGAGTAAGACCAGGGGGAGAGAGAGAGAGAGAGAGAGACAAGAGGGCGAGAGAGAACAGAGAGAGTAAGACCAGGGGGAGGGAGAGAGAGAGAGACCAGAGAGAGACGAGAGAGAGACCAGAGAGAGAAGACCAGAGACCAGAGAGAGAAGACCAGAGACTACAGAGACCAGAGAGAGCAGACCAGAGAGAGAGAGAGAGAGAGACAGAGAGAGAGAGAGAGAGAACAGAGAGCGTAAGACCAGGGAAGAGAGAGAGCAGAGAGACAGAGAGGAGAGAGAGAGAACATAGAGAGAGAAGACCAGAGAGAGAGAGAGAGAAGAGAGAAGAGAGAGAGACTAGAGAGAACACAGAGAGAGCAAGACCAGGAGAGGAGAGATGGAAGAAGAGGGAGAGAGAGAACAGAGAGAGTAAGACCAGGGAGAGAGAGAGAGAGAGAGAGACAAGAGGGGCGAGAGAGAACAGAGAGAGTAAGACCAGGGGGAGGGAGAGAGAGAGACAAGGGGGCGAGAGAGAACAGAGAGAGTAAGACCAGGGGGAGGGAGAGAGAGAGACAAGAGGGAGAGAGAGAACAGAGAGAGTAATACCAGGGAGAGGGAGAGAGAGAGAGACAAGAGGGAGGGAGAGAACAGAGAGAGCAATACCAGGGAGAGGGAGAGACAAGAGGGAGAGAGAGAAAAGAGAGAGTAAGACCAGGGGGAGAGAGAGAGAGAGAGAGAGACAAGAGGGCGAGAGAGAACAGAGAGAGTAAGACCAGGGGGAGGGAGAGAGAGAGACAAGAGGGAGAGAGAGAACAGAGAGAGTAAGACAAGGGGGAGAGAGAGAGAGAGAAAGAGGGAGAGAGACAACAGAGAGAGCAAGACAAGAGGGAGAGAGAGAGAAACAGAGCGAGAGAGAGAGAGAACAGAGAGCGCAAGACCATGGAAAGAGAGAGCAAGACCAGGGAGAGAGAGAAAATAGAGAAGAAAACACAGAGAGAGAGAGACAAGAAGGAGAGATGAAGACTTGAGAGAAAACAGAGTGAGCAAGACCAGGGAGGGAGAGGGAGAAGAGGGAGAGAGAGAACAGAGAGAGTAAGACCAGGGAGAGAGAGAGAGAGAGAGAGAGAGACAAGAGGGCGAGAGAGAACAGAGAGAGTAAGACCAGGGGGAGGGAGAGAGAGAGACAAGAGGGAGAGAGAGAGAACAAGAGGGAGGGAGAGACCAGAGAGAGCAATACCAGGGAGAGGGAGAGACAAGAGGGAGAGAGAGAACAGAGAGAGTAATACCAGGGAGAGGGAGAGACAAGAGGAGAGAGAGAACAGAGAGAGTAATACCAGGGAGAGGGAGAGACAAGAGGGAGAGAGAGAACAGAGAGAGTAATACCAGGGAGAGGGAGAGACAAGAGGGAGAGAGAGAACAGAGAGAGTAAGACCAGGGAGAGGGAGAGACAAGAGGGCGAGAGAGAACAGAGAGAGTAAGACCAGGGGGAGGGTGAGAGAGAGACAAGAGGGAGAGAGAGAACAGAGAGAGCAATACCAGGGAGAGGGAGAGACAAGAGGGAGAGATAGAAAAGAGAGAGTAAGACAAGGGGGAGAGAGAGAGAGAGAAGAGGGAGAGAGACAACAGAGAGAGCAAGACAAGAGGGAGAGAGAGAACAGAGCGAGAGAGAGAGAGAACAGAGAGCGCAAGACCATGGAAAGAGAGAGCAAGACCAGGGAGAGAGAGAAAATAGAGAAAGAAAACACAGAGAGAGAGAGACAAGAAGGAGAGATGAAGACTTGAGAGAAAACAGAGTGAGCAAGACCAGGGAGGGAGAGGAAGAAGAGGGAGAGAGAAAAGAGGGAGGGACAAGGCAAGAGAAAGACCAGAAAGACAGAGAGAGAGAGAGACAGACAGACAGAGTTTCTAACCTCATGATCATTGAAACATAATTCCCACATTTTATTGGACCAGAAATATCTTCACTGAAATTAATACAATTAAAATTCATTAATTAATAATTGTATTTATGCAATAAAATAAAATAAAAACAACATGAATTATTATGGGGTTTTTTGCTCATGTAATATTATTATTACATGAGCAATTATTCTTCATAATCTCATTTGAGAAAAAGTCTGAGCAGTGATGAGTTTTTAAGCTTTTTAAAGTATTTTTTCTTTGTGATGCTATATTTTAACATTTCTCAAACATAATGAATAAGTAAATAATACTTTAAATGTATGTTTTAAACTAGAATCAAGTTGTTTGGGGTTAGTATTTTATTATTTTCAGAAATCTTCTCAAGTCCTATTGCCTTGTTTTTTATTGTATGGTATTTTAAGCCGTATTTTACATATTTTTATGAATTCTTGATGAAGGGATTTTCTCCAGTGCAAACAGCTGCTCAGGGTTAGATTTGGGGTTTGTGAGGAAAGTGGAGCTCAGGGACCCAAAGGTGCTACTGTAGTCTTCACAGTGCTCTCTGCTGCCCCCTGCTGTCGGCAGAGTCACACCACGGCTTCCTCCTGTCTGGACTCTGGATGAATCAAACATGCAACATTACACTGCAAAAATCCATTGAAAAAATAAGAAAAGAATATTTGAAAGAGAATAAAATACTGCGTACAACCATAAAAATGATCTTCAACAATATGACTTTGTTTCTGCTGTAATTTACTATCCTGACGATGTGTAAAATGCACAAGTGACCGAAATAAAATAAAAGACTAAGACTTGACAATATTTTTGATAATACTTGCCCCAAATGACTCAACTCTAGTTCTACATTTCAAGTATTATTTACTTATTTCTTAAACATTTTTGAGGTTTTCTTATGATATAGCATCACAAACTTTTTTTAATCTGAACAAAAATAAATATTTAAAATAAGCTTAAAAACTCACAGGTCAGACTTTTTCTCTGATGAAATTATGGAGTATCTTAAAACCAGTCAAATAATCTCACACAACCATCTACACTCAAGAAAAAAAAAACTTGCCATTAAAAAGTAAAAAATAAATGTTATTAATAAAATATTGCTGTATAAGTGTATTAGAATAAAAAGCCTGGAAATACAATGTTCTGGTATATTGTTGTATTATTGAACCCAAACTCACTCACATACACACACACACACATGCAAACACACATACACATTCAGAGACATACACACACACACACACATACACACTTACACATACAGTATAGTACACGCATATGCCCATGCACACACACATAGAGACACGTACCCACACAGGCAAACACACACACACACACACATTCAGTATACAAGCATACAGTATGCCCATAAACACACAGAGACACACACACACATACACATATAGTACACACGCATATGCCCATGCACACACACACTGAGACACACACAACCACACACAGACACAGACACACACACACACACACACACATGCCTGTCCTGACCCTTCTTCCACTGTTCCAGATTGTGTTGGAGATCCGGAAAGCGGGCGATTCCCGAGTCCCCACATGGATCATCGTGGGCAGCACTTTGGGAGGACTGCTGCTGCTCGCTCTGCTCATCCTAGCTTTGTGGAAGGTCTGCACACACACACACACACACAGAGACACACACACACACACCAACTGTCACACAACAAGGCTTTAGCTCAGAGGTGTCCAAACTTTTATGCAAGAGGGCCACTTTAGTTCATCAGACTTGACCTGGGGCCGACAACCTGGATTTAAACAACTGGATTGACTGAATTCTGGAATGTTAAATGTTTTATGATACGTCCTTATAGATTCACGCCACAGCTGCAAAATTCAACAATTTTCATCAAATGTTTTCGCTTCCGGAAATGTTTATAAAATGTTGGTTGGCAATTTTGACTTTTGCACAAAAATCTCACATATTTTCAACTAGAAACAGAAAGATACTCACAGTTTTAAATGGTTTCAACCGGCACTTTTTTATAAGTATGCAAATAAAACCTGTGGCCTAACATGTTGATAACAGCTATGGTCATTTTAAGTAAGTAATGTTTTTTTATATGGCGCATTTCACAGACCAAGGTCACCCAAAGCGCTTTGATTTTACAGAATTTCCAAATTATTGTTATTGCCACAAATGAAGAATTGTCTTTGGCTCAAGGTGCAAGCAAGTTATAAGAGTAAAAATAAGCGTTGATAAAAATTCTTTATAAAATGTTAAATGTAATTACTGCTTTACTAATGTTAGGTAACTCAGCTTTAGAAGTACTGTGTATGAAACTCTGTCCTTGAGCCCGTCCCTCTCCTCTGCAGCTGGGATTCTTCCGGAGACAGAAGCAGCGCGATGAAGACCAGCCCATGGGGAAAGTGTCGGAGGAGGAGCGGTAACAGCAGCTGACGGAGGGACCTCTCCAGGACCACCCCAGGACCACCCCAGGACCACCCCAGGACCACCCCAGGACCAAGGCGGGGTGGCAACGGTCCCAGTCCAGAACTATAGACTTACGTTAAAGACTTTGGGACACTCCTCCATCATTTGTTTTCTAATGAATGGTATTTATTGAACTGTTGTCGTCTGTGTGAGAGACTCGGGGTCTCTCGAACCCGGGTCCAATGTTTTTGTTTATGAAATGATGCGTATTAATTTATGAAAGATTGTAAAGACAGTGATATGTAATCATCAAAGCAAACTATTTTTGTACAGCCCGACATCACAACCACAGCCGTCTCATAGGACTTCACAGGATGGATTAGATTAGATTAGATTAGATTTTAAAGTCACCATTAAAACACTCACATTTGTCAAAGAAGGTGAGGACAGATTGAATGTCCAGGACTGAGGCTGTAGATCTCCAGGACTGAGGCTGTAGATCCAGGACTGAGGCTGTAGATCCAGGACTGAGGCTGTAGATCCAGGACTGAGGCTGTAGATCCAGGACTGAGGCTGTAGACCCAGGACTGAGGCTGTAGACCCAGGACTGAGGCTGTAGATCCAGGACCGAGGCTGTAGACCCAGGACTGAGGCTGTAGATCCAGGACTGAGGCTGTAGACCCAGGACTGAGGCTGTAGACCCAGGACTGAGGCTGTAGACCCAGGACTGAGGCTGTAGATCCAGGACTGAGGCTGTAGACCCAGGACTGAGGCTGTAGACCCAGGACTGACGCACTGAACATGTTAAACTGTTTTCCTTGTTGGTTTGTTTCTTGTAACATATTATTTCATGTCATCTACAGTTCAGATCTTGTTGTTTTGGAGTTAATGTAAATTCACCTTCAGAAAAAAGAGACGAATCCAACTGGTCAAGCTTTGTGGTGATCAGAAACACAAACGCACACACATACACGATACAATTCAGGAGCTCGCGTAGCTACTTTGGCTAATGGATTCATTTAAAAACATACAAACTTTTATTTTTTTAATATTACCGTTTGAAGCCTACATTTTGGGACCAATTTCCTTCGAATCTTGAAATTGAACTGTTTTCTGAATGTGCTTCTAACAAATAAAAATAGAAATTAACAAACCGTTCGATGCCAGATTGTAACGAAAGCACACAACACCAATTTTTAAAACATAAAAGTCATTGGTGCGGTGTGTGGTGGGGGGCTCGCACAGGAGGGAGGGCCACATTCACGGTCCACAGCAGGGGTTTCCAAACACATCCTTCCCAGGCTTTCATTCCGCCCACGAGGGAGGCCTGACATTTGGAAGGATCACCGTGTTTTAATTGAATTTGCGCTGAAAAGATGGACAGATTTGGGCCCATTCACACTTCATTTGTGGGCGTAAAACCACTCAAGAAGGAAACTCTTTTAACAGCATTTTTCCAAGTGAGGCAGACTTCGGCGAACCAGGCCGAATTGTGAATGTACCCTCAAAAAACAGTCCTTTCTTGTCTTTTCACCTAAAAAAGATAAAAATATGAATATAATTGATATCAGTGCAGGATCACTTCTTCACAGATTTGGCCCTTGCTCGCCACTGCACTTATACGGTCTGATAGTTTGGACACCCCAGATCACGTCTGGTCTAGTAACAATATCACAATCCACCACCATGAATGTAGTTAAATGAGTATGTTTACAAAGCTGATGAATACAGAGCATGCTAGAAAAAAAAACACAATTTGGTATTGCTCCCAAACCGGTCTCACCCCTCTGGTCTCATCAGTGACATCATCCCGGGCCAGTGGGGGGTGGACCCAGAATAAGAATTAGCCAAGGCTAACATGTAGCATCTTCTTACCTCTCGAAAACGTCTTTACAGGATGGTCCAAAAGTTGGCTCTTGGCCCAAAGCTCGGTTCCACATGTGTGTCAATGCTGAGGGGAGTAAATTTTTTTGGACCTAGTTTAGTCGCTGTGAATTTTTGAAGTCACTCGGGGCTCAAGCCGGCTGACGCATGCGCAGATGCGTTTTTTTCACATTTTCCAGCCCCCGCGGCCGTTTAAAAACTACCCATAGACCGCGAAAGTTGTGGCACTTTAGTTACAACGGCACAGATAGGCGTGACTAGGTCCATTAATAATTACAGTCTATGGATCTCATACATAATGCAGGGCGCCCTAACACGATTGCACAGAGGGGTGTTCCATAGACTGTAAATATTAACAGACCTACCGACGCCTATTTCCGTTGATGAAATTGAAGATCAACATGGACCTTTTCAAAATGGTCATTAGAAGCCCCTCCTGCTGGAAAATGGTGAAAAATACAACTTTTGCCAATGCGTTAGATTGCAAGAACCTGACACATGACTGTAGAATAGGTTTGCTCATGGACCAGTTTCAGCCTAGACCCGCCGTCACTGTTTAGTACTGACAAAGTGCGACACAAAGATATACTGTAGAAGCACAATTTTGGAGTGATGCATTGACGCAAAATTTTCTTTACTTCCCGACTGCAGCATCCAGGCATTTCATTTCTATAGCACCGCGTTTTGCTTTTGCTTCACGGGAAACTGAAACACGTGCAGAGGGACCGTGTACCTGTACGCTCCAAATACACACATTTCGTGGCTTTCCCCTGTGCTCTTAAAGGCCTCTGCTGGCCTGGTCTCAGTAGTATCTGGTTTCCGTTTTGATCCAGACCAAGACACCAAACGAACTGTTCTTTTCACACGGGTTTTCATGCTTCTTACTCAATCTAATTGAATGGAACTCATCTGTTTTTTAATAGTGCTTTGTGGACGCTCCCAGTGCTGCTTTGAAGATCTCTGCTTTACCTGGACCAGTGAACAAAGTGTCAAACTAAAAGAAAAACGCAAGATGTACCGATCAAGAGACGGTATTTTGTTGTTTACCAAAGATTTTCTTGTCAGATTAAGAATGGACTGAATCTCGCAGTCACTCTCACTGCACCCATCCATACTCATACAACGATTGTGTTTAATAAAATATGAAAAATTAGTGTTTGTGTCCTGTCTGTGTTTGCCCAAAGCTCTCATCAGTTCATCAGATAAATAATAAACAAGATCAACTTGTTTTACAAAATGTGCAAACCTTTTGTAAAAACAGTATACTGTACATCACAGTACTACAGTATACTGTACATCACAGTACTACAGTATACTGTACATCACAGTACTACAGTATACTGTACATCACAGTACTACAGTATACTGTACATCACAGTACTACAGTATACTGTACATCACAGTACTACAGTACACTACAGTACTACAGTACATAAATGAAAATACGGGTGAACTATTTATGGGAATGATAAACTTTGAGTATGCATCGCATTCCACTGTAGATATACTTTTTAACTCTGTCACCTCTAGTGTTTTTAATGTTCTGGATACCGTTACCCCTGTGAAGGTTAAAATAGTGAAAAATAAGCAGAAGGCGCCGTGGGCTAAAGCAGACTCGGTCAGGGCACAAAAGAGAAAGTGCCGGAGGGTCGAGCGGAAGTGGCGCAAGTCCAACTTCCAGGTTGATAACGAGATCTTCTAAGATAAGTTGTGCGAGTTTAACCGGGTGCTACGTAGTACGAGAGAAAGGTATTTTTCTGAAATGATTGAAGGCTGCAGCAACAATCTCCGTGTTCTGTTCTCAACAGTTAATAGATTAACAAACCCCCCTGTTCAAATGCCATTAGAGCTAACTTCCAAACGTAAATGCAATGAGTTTGAACCTTGTCATTGAAAAAATGTGCAAGGCATCAAAAACGCCATTGTCTCCAATCCACAGATAACCATCCAACAACCAGAAAGGCTCTTTGAGCTAACTTACTTTGCACCTGTAAATGATCAAACTGTCCAAGAGATAATCTCCAGTTTGAGCTCCTCCACATGCAGCCTGGATGTACTACCCACTAGATTTCTGAAGTCTGTTCTGAGCAGTCTGTTACCTTCACTCACACAGATAGTAAACATGTCCCTGTTACGACCCAGCTCAGCTAGGGTGAGGGAGGTAACAAATTAAAACCAAGATGTTGAATGGAAAAGCAAGTATTTAATAAAAGGCAAGTAAATGATAAGTAGACAAAAATCAAAGGGACACAATACAGGACATAAGAGGGTAACTCAACGTTACCAAAATAAAAGCTACACTAAACACTAACACTAAGCCACCTAGAACTTAACACTAAACCTACTGCTGTCTCAACAAAAGCGAAGTGTCACAAAAACAGAACCTCGAAGTGACAAATAAAAAGAGACAAACCAACTATAAGCTATAAGGACCATAAGGACTGTCTTTAAGTCAGTGCCACCACTGTGACACTGACAGACACTTTCATAAGGACAGAAGCACAACGGCATACCAGCCACACACAGGCTGGCAGCCTCGAACAGGTGTGGAGTGTGGCCTTAAGTGGAGACTGACTCCAGGTGGGGGAGATGGACCGGCCAGGTGCACTGCCGCTCCTCCAATCAGCACCCGAGTCACAACCTCCGGGGGGCGGGAGGGGCAGTGATTGTCCAATGACAGGCCAGGGATCTTCAGACAGGAGAAGTTTCCACACACACACACAAAATACAAAAACAGGGAGCAATATGTAGGCTCAGGGCCGTAACAGTCCCTTCATTCTGGAATATTCCCAAAGGCCCTGAAAACGGCAGTCATCAGGCCCCTGCTAAAAAAGAGCAGTCTGGATGCTACGGTACTTAACAACTATCGTCCCATCTCAAATCTGCCATTTATGGGGAAAGTCCTTGAGAAAGTTGTCTACCTACAGCTTACTAGATTTCTTATAATCAACAACTCATTTGATATGTTTCAGTCCGGCTTTAGACCCCACCACAGCACTGAGACTGCTCTCGTCAAGGTTACAAACGATATCCGGCTGAACACTGACGCAGGCCAAGTCTCAATCCTAATCCTGTTAGATCTGAGTGCTAACTTTGACACTGTCGACCATGAGATCCTCTTACAGAGAC